AACCCTGGGAAGTAGTAAGATGACCACCATCCTGTGTTGCCGCAACTCAGCAAAAGCTCTGAGCGCCCTCCAAATCCCGAGTGTCCCCACACAGTTCCCGTCTAGCCCGCCCTTCCTCTGCCGGAGCCCAAGGTGAGTGGCTGTGGCTATCTTAGCGTCTGTCCCAGCTCTGCACTGTGGGGCCACCTGGGAGTGTAACCCGAGGGCGCTGCTCACAGCTCAGACTGCTGCTGTCTATGGGCTCCCAGCCCCATCTCATGTCTCCCCAATCCTACCAGGATCAAGTCAGTGTCCCTGGTTATATGGTCCTCGCAAGCTCCTTTTCTGTTGCTTTTTCCCGACGATTTGTCTTTACTTTAGTATTAATTCCAATTTGGTCCTGGGAGACAGTCTGTGTAGCTTCCATTCACTCCGCCAACACTTGGAAATCCCTGAACCGTGTTTCTTGTATCCTGTTAAATCCAGACAGACCCAATGTCTAAACATCAAGTATGAAGCCAAATTAACCCAATAGAAAGGAGAGCGACACAAGAACGTTGCTGTAAAAAATAAGTTAGAAACCAATGAGAAAGACAGTAAAAACATTAATAAATCTAAACAGTGGCTTAAAAAAAAATGTCCAGACTTCCGGGCAAGGTGGCGGGTAGGTAAACGCGGTATCGCGTCCTCCTCCCACAACCACATCAAAGTTACAACTAAACTACAGAACAACCATCCTTCAAAACCACCTGAAAACAAGCTGAATGGAAGTCCTACAACTACGCAATTAAAGAGGAATTAAAGAAGCAGCCACATCGAGACTGCTCCGAATTAGTAATCTTTTGGCTCGACGCCGAGGAATTCCAGCCTCTAGTCACTCAGCGCATCACAAAGTGCCCCGTCTGAGTGGAGACGATATTGCAGTACACAAGGGAAAACACGGAAGAACATAAAGACTTATGCAAAGCTCTTTGCTTAATTAAAGACATGATTGCAGCAGTGGATTGAAAAGTCAGCGACTATGAGAAAAACCAAAAGTGGCTTGAGATCCTAAGTAAGATCGAGAACAAAACGTATACAAAGCTCGAAAACGGCCATGTGTTCAGGAAGCAGGCACTGATAAGCAGAGAGAGGACTCTGTTATATGACGGCCTTGTTTATTTGGAAAACTGCTACTGGCCGTTTCAAAGATATCCTAGCTCTACTTCTAACTGATGTGCTGCTTTTTTTACAAGAAAAAGACCAGATGTGTTTGCAGCTGTTGATCAGATGCCATCCGTTATTTCCCTTCAGAAGCTTATTGCTGGAGAAGTTGCTAATGAGGAGAGAGGAATGTTTCTGATCAGTGCTGCTTCTGCTGGCCCTGAGATGTGTGAGAGTCACACCAATTCCAAGGAGGAACGAAATGACCGGATGAGACGGACCCAGCAGGCTGTCGAGAGTTGCCCAGAGGAAGGGGGAGGACCAGTGAATCTGACGAAGAGCGGCGGAAAGCTGAAGCAAGAGTGGCCAAACCCAGCACTGTCAAGAAATACTCTGCAATCAAGACCAACAAGTTTGTACATATTTGGAGGAGAAGCTGCATATCTATGCTGAACTTGGAGAACTGAGTGGATTTGAGGATGTCCATCTGGAGCCCCACCTCCTCATTAAACCTGACCCCGGAGAGCCTCCCCAGGCAGCCTCATTACTTGCAGCTGCACTGCAAGAAGCCGAGAGCCTACGAGTTGCAGTGAAGGCCTCCCAGAAGGGTGATGCCTGCCACTCGTCCGAGGAAGGATATGAAGACTCTGCCTTGACAGATGTGCCCAGCTGTGACCCGCCGGGATCGCCTGCTGCCTGCAGCTTTTTCCTATTAAGTGAAAGTAAGATGGAGAATCTACCTTCTCAGTATCACCACCATCACATGAACACCTCTCTGCAAGAAAAGAAGCAAAATGAAAAGATGGATGACAATTGATGCCATTTGTCAGTTCGGTCTCTATTAGTGTGTAAGCTCCCTGAGGGCAGGGTCTCTGCGTTGCTCTGCTCTGTGTTAGCACCTCCTACAAGAGTATTCAGTACATGTGATTTTTATGGTGTTTGCTATTTGGAAATATGTGTCAGCTGTGTATAAAAGAGCCCAGTCCACTGGCTGTTGTGTGATGATGTCCTTTTTGTTTCTGTCTCAACGGCGTGCTTTCAGCACCAGTCACAGAAGGGACAGGAGGAAGAGGCTGTTGGGATGTGGATCCCGGGACCCAGGGTGTGGGAGCCGACTCGGCGGTCTCTGATGCAGGGGAGAAGGTATTGTGAACTGACTTGTTAGTAAATGGCACTGGTTTATCTGTGTAATAAAATAACCTCAGGTCCTGGTCTGTCCATGGCCGAGAGTGGTATGAACATGTTTTCTTGAATTGTTCTCAAGTTCAATATTCATATTTAAACTTTCTAACTTGTTTCTCCTTAGAATGTTCTTCTTCTTCCTATATCATGTAGGTGTAAACAAAGAAACACTTGAAAAGTTATTAAAAAAGATTTAAAACTCAAAAAGAAATGTCTAATTTAGGAAAACTTGCAAACATCGTGACACTGAAATACTAGACAAAAGTGATTTGGAAGATGACACTGCAGCAGACCCGATTTAGCCTCTTTTAACTGATCAGAAGGCAGCTAGAGTACCAAACCACATTAGACAATCTAGGTGTACTTTTTCGATTGTTAAGGGCTCCCTATATGATAAAAGGAATGGGGTACATAAATTCCAAGCCAGCAGAAGGAAATATGGAGGGGGAGGGGGAGTGCAAACTGAATTAATCCAACAGAAGGAGAAAAGAGAAATAAAGCAAAAAAGGAAAGACATGGTTAAGAGGAAATGTAAAACAAAATGACAGACGTAAGTCCAAATATGTCAGTAATCACAATAGATGTAAATGGACTGAACTCATTAGTAACAGCACAATATCAGATTGAATGGAAAAAAATAAGCATCAGTTATCATAAAGGGCTGGAAAAAGATATGCCTGGAAAATACCAACCAAAGCCAGTTTGGATGTTATTATGGGAGAAAACAGAATCTAAGGCCTGAAGCAATATCGGGATAAAGACATAATAAGATTCATCCACATATAGAATAAGTCAATCATATCCGAGGATGCAACAATATAGCCTCAAAATATACAAAGTATATGTCTCACCTATAAGCAGAAATGAACAAAGGCATCATATTACTGAGAAACTGTTAAGCAAACTCTAGACCAAGTATCATATATTTATATAATACAATTAACAATATATAACAATATATGTATACTGCATGAGAAACAATGTCTTTTTCTGTTAGGGACAAGAAAGACATTTATTTTGTTTACTTACATCCCAAGTGCTAGCATAATGCCTACCACATAATAGGTTTTCATAAATATTTGTAGAATAAGCGAATAAAAGGTCAGCCATCTCTTCCTACACTAAGTCTGGGTTCTACCCTGGCCCATCCCCTTCCCTAAGGTGGGCGTTAGCTCTTTGCCTTAGTAATAATAGACAGTAGACTAATACCTATTAATATCTACTCTTCGAATAGTACCTCGGGATTTTTAAAAATTGATTTAAGAACACATTCTTTTTAAGCACACATGGAACATGAATAAAAAATCACTATGTAGAGAACAAAAGGAAAGTCTCAATAAATCCCAAATGATAACATTCTCTGACCAAAAAAAAATGCAATTAAATTAGAAACAAAGAATAAAAAAAATTAACAGATAATTCATTGGTGAAAGAGAAACTCAAAACAGATACAACATAGAAATAAAAATAAAGTTACTCTGTAACAACACGTGCTGAATGCAGCTAAATGACTTATTAAAATTAAAAAGGACTGAAAATAAATAAGCTGAGTACTGAACTCAAGAAGCCAGAGGTTAGGAGAACATATAAAGCCAAGGAAGAAAACAAAATAAAGAGAAGTTAATGAAACCACCAAAAAAATCAATAGAGAACACAATAAAAAAAACAATATTGTTCTTTGAAGTTTAATAAAAGAGACAGACCAAGAAAAAAAGGCACAAATACATGATATTAAAATATGAAAAAAATCTGCCCTGGCTCAGTGGTTGGAGCGTCAGCCCGTGTACCAAAGGGCTGCAGGTTCTATCCCTGGCCCTGGGGTCATTCGAGAGACAACCAGTCGATGTGTCTTTCTCACATCGATGTTCCTCTTTCTCTCTCCCTATCCCCTTCTCTCTCTTCCACTCTCTCTCTAAAAAAAGAGGGGAAAAAAAAAATCTCACACATTTTTTGAAACTCACAAGAGAACACTAGAAACAATTTATATCAATTCATTTGAAAACCTAGATGAATCAATTTTCTAAAATATATGGATTACCCAAATTGACTCCATTAAAAGTATTAAACATAAGAAGACTCTAACTCTTATGTAAATTTAAAATAGTTTTTAAAACTCCTCCTTCTAACACCCCCTAACTTCCCCCCACCACTCACCTCAAAATAAATAAATATTAGACGTAAATTTACAGGCAAGTCTTAGCAAACATTCAGAGGTTCATTCCTGTGTTGTAGACACTACTGTAGAAATGGCGGGAAGGTGGGTGTCTGGGCTGGTGTGGAAACCAATGCAGGTTTCCCTGAGAGTCCTGGAACCATTAGAATTTAAGTGCCAAATTTTGCTTTTTTTTTTTTAATAGTTTAATGAGGTTTATAACTTTTATATCAAAAGAAGACAAGGCCAGCATAAGAAAATTAAATTATAAAACAATCTCTCACCTATGAACAAGGATGCCAATCCTGTGACCAGCTCCGCAAGGTAGGTGTTATTACGCCCATTGTATTGATGAGGAAAGTGAAGGCCGGTAACTGACCAGACTCCCTGGTGGAGCTGGATCTAGTCCCACCTACTCTGCTCTTGGCTCTGGTCCCTCCAGGGGCAGGACTGGAGAGCTAAGGCCCCTTCCCTCAGCCAGGCCCCACCAAGGGGATGTCCAGGTGGTCCAGGTGGTGGGGAGACCTCCCTTCTGGGCACTCACCAGGATGGGCTCCACCAGCTTCCCCTCCGGCATGACCGAGCGGTTCATCTTGGCGATGTGTTGCAGCGTCGCCAGGGCAGCCTGGGTGTTCCCGGTGGAGACATTGAACCGAGCAGATTCGGGAATGAACTGGACACAGGTGACAAACAGTTGTGGCTGCTTGGCCCCAGGGTCAGGGCTCTTACCAATCCGTATGCTGACTACACGGCCGGTTCCCAGCCCGGTTCCCAGCCCCGGGAAGGGAGCCCAAGCCTGAGGCGCACGCTGCAGCCCGCTCGCGCCTGCATTCCGGGGGGATGAGGGGTGGGAACCACGAAGGTCGCCTGTTCCTTACAGTCTCCGCTTGGATGGCAGCGGGCTGATACTCAGCTTCAGACCAATTTGGTTCAACATACTTGTTAATACAACGAACTTCCTCCTCCAGTAGTAAATGTCCCCGAGACCCCCAGTGCCCCTCCACGGCTGCCACCCCAGTCCTCAGCAGAATCAGGATCTCCCCACAATGCGACAGCCTGCAGGTGACCATGCCCGGCGCCTGCAGCACCCGGAGGTGGGCGATCCGTCCTGGGCATAGAGGCCCTTACCCCAGGACTGTTGCACAGTTTGAACACCACTCGGCCAACAGTACAGGCCTCCACTGAGGCGGGGCCTGGAGAGCCAGCCTGGGCTGCTCCCTGCCCCGGGGCCTCACACCCTCCTCCCCCAGCAGCGCCCGCCCCCCATTCCCGCGGCCAGTGGGCGCTCAGGTTCTCCTCATCTCCCACCTGCATTACCCTGACACTTTCTAACTGCTTTTCTGCCCTCTCCTGCCCAGGCTCCAGGTATCCCGATGCCAGCTTCCCAGCACACAACCCATCTCCCTCCATTGCCCTGGCCTGCGAGGCCCTTCCTACACTGGGCACAGGCCTGTGTTCCCAGCCTCCCCGCACCCCTCACCCCCGCCACCCAGCCTACCTGCTCTCCCTCTAATTCTGCGTGTTCACACCTTCAGACGGGCCTTGCACACCCGTGACTGAGATGGACACTTACATAAAGGAAAGGGGAGACATGGGGCAGACGGCCACTGGGCAGCGGGAGGGAAGGACCAGGGAGCCAGGCTTCCTCACCTTGAAGACCAAGATGAGGATGATGCCAGGAATGGAGGCGATGCGGATGAGCCAGCGCCACCCGATGGTGGGGATGACCACGGAGGCCAGGCCGATGATGAGCAGGGACCCAGCAAGCCAGAAAACCTGGGCAGGGATGGGAGATGACATCCCCGTCACACGGCTCCACACTGCCTCTCAGGAGCTGCTCACCCTGCATTTTACCACCGCAAGAGGGAGGCAGAGGGTCTTGGACTGCGGAGCCGGGGTTTGGGTTCTATCAGGACCGGGATGAATGGGGAAAGTGACCACTTCCCAGGCTTTGTCTGCTTGTCTGCCGGTGGAGACTCAGCTAGGCAGAAGGTCAACAGTATCACCAACCTGGGACCCGCCCTGGCCTGTTTGGCTCAGCGGTTAGAGCCTCGGCCTGCGGTCCAGAGAGACCCGGGTTCGGTTCCGCTAAGGGCATGTACCTCAGCTGCAGTTTGTCCCCGGCCCTAGGGCCATGCGGGTGGCAACCACTCCATGTGTCCCTTTCACGTTGATGTTTCTCTCACTCTCCCTCCCACTCTACCTGAACAAAAAATGGAAAAATGTCCTCGGGTGAGGATAAAAAAATAAACTAAAATAAAAACCTGGGACCCCAGATGCTGACTTTTCCCCCTCTTGAATAAATAAATCACTGGTTCATAACTCAAGGTACAAAGGAGAACACTGTGGAGAGAACTTCTCCTCCTGCCCTGCCGTCCAGTTTCACTTCTCAGGTAAAGCCGTCCTCGGTGTCTCGCGTCCTCTGACGCTGCTCTGAACATGTACGAGCTAATAAGAAGACGGTATTACGTTCTTCTCTTTCCCGCACATGGCAACATAATACACGTGATGCTTTTCACACTCAAAATGTAACTTGGAGATCACTTTATATGACCAAATAACGTGGCAGCCCTTACGACCAGGCCCCATTGGCTGGGAGTCAGAACAGTTCTGAGTGTTTGGCCTGCACCTCTTCCCTCCGAACACGGAGAACAAACGATAGCTCCACTCCACCTCCCAGAGATGCGGAGAGGATAATATTGGAAAAGATCCTTTGGGGGACTACTTCGGGGTGACTATTTCAGTGCCAAGAATTCTATTACAAACGAGACTACTTCAGGCAGTGACCGAGCTGCAGAAGAGAGCAACGTGATGCAGAGTGAGCTGAGCGAGCAGGGCCGACCTTTCTGAGAAGGTCACGGACAACAAGGTCAATAGCAAAGCCCTGCGGTAGACCAGGCAACGCGATGAGCACCGAAAAGGATTTTAGTAGTGAAATGACCAAAAAAAAAAAAAAATGTTTAACTTAAGGATATGGCTCGCATTCTGGAGGTGAAGGGGACAGACGGATGGACACTGCTGTTGAGGGTCCGTTGTAGAGGATGAGTCCGTGGGGCTTGGTAATGGGTTGGATGGGAGTGAGGGCAGGGGAGGGGTCTAGGACGATTCTTCAGTCTGTGGCTCAGATGACTGAAGGGACAGTATGCTACTGACTGACAGCAAACACATCTTCAGGGGAAGATGAAGAGTTTGGTTCTATGAATGTTGTGTTTGAGGAACCTGTAGGACATCCAAGTTGCTCTCTATCAGGTAACTGCCACCTGGTCGGAAGTTTCAGGAGGTGCCCTTGCTTGTGGATACAGATTTTGGGGGTGGCACACACACAGATAGCTACAAACATTGGAGTGAATTAGACGACCCAAGAAGACCTGGAAAATAAGACAAGCAAGGAGAACACACAACCAGGAATCCTGCGGCTGGTGCAAGAGAAAACGTCCACAGATGACCTTGAGCAGGACTGTACCAACTAAATAATGTTAAACGTAACATCCAACCCTAAGTACTAAAAGTGCGCGTGTCCATCTCAATGAAGATCAGAGGAAGAACGCCGGGAGGCATGGAAAGACTTCTTCAGTATTTGTTAGGTTCTACTTTTTTTGTTGTTGCCTAAATTTAGTGTCAGAAAAATTAAAAATAAATTTACACGCAATATCCTACTACTTTACTTATTGCCAAATCTATAATGCCTCAGTGGGAAGGGTTGTCTTTTTCTGGGACCTCAGAAGGTCAGCACTTTCGGATGATGAGGGCATCAAAGGACACCTAGACGGACGGAGCTTCTGGATGCAAAACCTCTCTCTCACCGGTGGCCAGCAGGGTCTGAGGAGGGCTGAAGAGCTTCCCAATCTCTCGCCTGGACAAATGGCTCACCAGGGAGGTGGCAGTATGACACGTTCCCACAGGCATGGACCAAGTACCGACTTGCAGACACTAGCATCCTCGGAAGGGAGGTGAGACGCCCCACCTCCCTCCATAGAGACAGTTCCTCCCAGGTGCCTCCTGGGCCCTGTCACTCCAGTGAGATCAGCCACGGAGTGTTTCCTGGTTACTGAGGGAGGGGTCGCTGTGCTCCAGATGCTGCTGGTGGCTGATGAGGACCAGGCTCAGAAGACCTGGGAGCGGGACCTCTGCTCCTTGGTCCCTAACGCCCCTTGGTTGGTCCTGAGCAGTCGGCAGTGTGCTGCTCAGAGGAGTCCACCGGCCAGAAGGAAAAGCGAGCACCTCACCTTCTCTGGGGTCAGAAGACGCGGTAGGAGGCCTATTTCGCCTTCCTTACCTGAGACAAGGGGAGCATGTAGCCTCGGTATTTCGTTGGCAGAAATTCAGTCTTTATGATGATCCTAAACGGGGAGGGGAGAAAACAGAATTTGGTTTTTATAAAGCCATGGAATTTATTTGAACAGTCATAATTTCTCTCGTCACAGAGAGAAAGAATCGGAAAAGGTGGACGTTATGAAACGGCAAGAAAGATGTATGGAGCTCTCTGCCCTGGTCTGTGACTCTGGTCTCCTGATACCAAGCCCTTAAAACCCCTGGAATTTCCTGGGTGGCACTCGGGGAGGCCTCACCCGATCTAGGTCCTGTCAGCGAGCAGGAAGGAATTCGAGAGCGTGACAGGAAGATGTGTTAGCAAAGCACAGTACGTTTATAAGTGATAGTACACACTTGAGAAGTGAGAGGGGGCGACCGCAGAGAACGCGACGTGCTGGTGGTGTCTGGGTGGCAGGGTTTTTGGTTTGCTTGTTGTTGTTTTTTTTTATTGATTTTTTTGACAGAGAGAGAGAGGACGGGAGAAAGACAGAGAAACATCCACGTGAGAGAGAAACGTCCATCAGCCGCCTCCTGCACCCCCTACTGGGGATGAGTCCGCAACCCGGGCTTGTGCGCTGACCAGGAATCAAACTGAGACCTCTCAGTCCACGGGACAACGCTCAATCCACTGAGCCACACCGGCCGGGCTAGGTGGCAGGTTTTTGATAAAAGTGGGCAAGGGGCCCTGGCTGGTGTGGCTCACACACCAAAGGGACTTGTTTTCCATTCCCGGTCAAGGGCACGCACCTGGGTTGCAGGTTTGATCTTCAGCCCCAGTCCGGGCACTGGAGGGAGGCAACCAACCAATGTCTCTCTCACATCGGTTTCTCTCTCTCCCCCTCCCTCTCCTTCACTCTCCCTAAAATTCAATGGAAAAAAGTTTCCTTGGGTGAGGATTAACAAAAAAGGGGCAGAGCGGGTAGTCCTCGGCTTTTGATGCTGGTGGAGTGACAGCTAGGGGCTGGTCCTCCTGTCTCCTCTCCAGATAGCGACCTTTGTGGCCATCCCAGCTGCAGGGCACCGGGGAGGGGCAGCGGGGAACAGATGGTCAGTGAAGGTCGAATCTGTGATGTTCCAGCCAAGATGGGGGAGGGGCAGAGCCCGAGGCCTTCGTCCCCTATGCTAACCTTCCTGCCTTTATAGGACCATCTTTCGTCCTAACGAGGTAACTCTCGTGGGCTCCCTCATGGGGGCTAGTCACTGGAAAGACTAAGCCATGATGAGAAACGGGGAGCACTCAGGCCTCCCCCACCCTCCAGAGAGAGCAGAGGGGCTGGGAAGTGGGTAGCAATCAATCATGTCTACATGGCGACACCTCCATAAAAGTCTCTAAAGTGTGGCATCCAAAGACCTTCAGGTTGGTGAGCACTGTGTGGGGGAGGGTGGCGCACCCCAATGCCACAGGGATAGAGCTCCCAGGCTCAGGACCCTTCTGCACCTGGCCCTGTGTATATATATCTTCATCTGGCTGCTCACGTGTATCCTCTGATATATCCTTTGTTATAAATAATCCTTTTGCAATAAGGATTATTTATTGCAAAATAATCCTTAAGTAAACTGTTTTCCTGGGTTCAGTCAGCCGCTCGAGCAAATCCTGGAACCCGAGAAGAGGTTTGTGGGAACTTCGATGTGGAGCCCGGACAGACAGAAGTTGTGGGAAGGTGAGGACCGACTTCTTGCACGTGGGTGTGAAGCGGGGCAGCCTGTGAGAGAGGACCTTCAACCTGTGGGACCTGCACGAACTCTGGTCAGGGTCGGATGAACTGCAGGGATCCCAGCTGGTGCCAGAGACCCGCTGGGGGGGAACTATCCGCACAGCGAGTGTCAGAGTGAAGTACCACCAGAAACGGCGAGTGCAAGCGTTAAAGGAAAACAGAAGAGTTTTCCCTAGACAACCAGGCATCAAGCTATAATTGTTACAGCCATAAACACAATATAAACGAGGCCACTTCAAAATGGAGTTGGGGCTGCATCCCACAGGAACGACCTTGCATGTGTGACCCCACAAACCTCTGGAATGTTCCAATGACCCTCAGCCGTGCTGGGGCTCTACTGTGTTCCCAACTGTGCGCAAAGATAACAGGAAAGCAGAAAATTAACGTCATTCTTCAGGATGAGTCTCTGTTCGCTTATCTGCACCTGTAGAAAGTCCTTCCTGCTAGTCACGTAACTAGTCCTCTCCCCTTGCTCAGCAGTACCCCGTTGCTGTCACCTACTGAAATGCTGGGTTTCTGCCTGCATCCGGGCTTCCTAAGTACCTCTTCTCTAGGCTCAAACACGCATGGGGCGCCTGTCACTGTAGCTTTTTATTTTTAGGTTAACACAGCCAATATCCACCGAAGGAAACTTCGAAACAGCTCTCCTGTTTACGTTTTTATCCCCAGTGGTACATGAGCACTTCTATTCCCCTATTATCAGTAATCCAAGTTATTAGTTCCCAGTTATCTCTTACTATCGAAGAGGTGTTAGCCTATCTCGTCTGCCGAGAGGCATGTTGGAAATCTGTCTTCCCAAGTCTGATTTCTCTTTTCTAAAATGTGCTTGGGAAATTAAAATACAACTAAGAGCAGGGAGTCCAAGCCCAGGTGTCTAGTTAAGTATGTATTAATGCTGTGAATTTGGAGGGCAAATAAACTCATATTCCATCAGCTTTCTAACTGTTCTCTGTTGCAGGTACTAGTGAGCGTTTAGGGGTTTTAATGCGTGTATTTATTGAGGCTGCTCTCTGAGGGATGTTTAAAAATTCTACTTAATTCTATTCCTCCAGGGCTCCAAGGTACAAGTGATGCTTAACTCATGCCTCAGGGAAGAACAGTTCCTTCTCTAACACATTAAGGTAACAATTAGGTGATTTGACATCTCCTAATATATTCTAAGGGAACTTGTCCCAAGGCACCCGGAGAGAATAGCCTGAGGGGCCCTGTTCATTTAAGGGAGGCTCCCAAATTGCTGAAAATTTAGCATTACCCCTTCACACCCACACATCTGATACTGCACAGTCATCCAAGGGAATCTTTCAATACAGTGCACCCTGCTTTGCAAATTCATTTGATACAGCCTTAAATTACAGAGTGATGGCACTTTAAACTGTTATTCCTAAGTGTTCCAGGCGCTTATGGTCAAACTAAACTCTTCCAACAAATTCTCAAGAAATGAATAGGTTGCGTTGGGGTTGACATTTTTGTTGCCGACCTCATACACCACTTTTTGTTCAGTATCTAGTCAAACAAAATAATGTCTATCTAAAAAATAACGAGCAGCCTTAGGAGCAAAAAAGTTAACACATGCTCAATCCAGCAGTCTGCTAGCCTGAACAGCAAACATCATTTTGATGAGCCAATAACAACTAGAGAAATAAGCAGCCATCACTTATAAACAAAAACAAAAATCTCAAAAATAATTAGCACAAGTGAAGTCCATAACTTTGCAACTTATTGACGCTATTAGTCTATTAAGCACAGTGTCTGTGTCAGTGCGCGGGGTGTCCACACGTCTCCCTCGTGGGTCTGCAAAGTGAAGTCTTTACCCTTGTGCATGGCCAGACACGCCACAGCCCACGAGTGTCCGCAGGAAGACAAACCAGATGTATGAAGGAGAGAAAGAGGTCAGCAAGGAGAAGTAGGCTCCCCACAGGAACGAGATGAACAAAATCTGAAGCAACAAAAAGAAAGTTATTAATGGGACCTGCCGCCATAGAAGACGGGGGTGGGGGGAACCTCTCTTCCGAAGGTGATCTTTAATTTCCATCCAGGTGTCTGCTTCTCTGAGGGGCTGACCCACAGCGATCGCTGATCTATAACTATCAAACAATCCAATCCATGACATTCTATTGTGAAAGCCAGACATTCTGTGGATGTCAGCACTTCCCAACCTGCAGAGGATTTGTATGAGTCTATTTGAGGCCCTGGGGAGCGACAGCTTTGGTTCCTTTCAGACACGTGGAACTAAGGAGGGAGCGAAGGAAGATGCACGGAGGTGAGAGAAAGCAAGGTTCATGGAGTTCTGTGCTCACGGGAATGGCTATGCCTCCGCCTCCGCCTCCGCCTCCGCCTCCGCCTGCAGGGGCCCAGGAAAGAGGACTCTGGCATTTCAAATGAGATGCGCGAGAACAGTGAACAGGGCTGGTCTACGGAAGTGACAGGCCTGCGGCGTGACTGCCCCCAGTTAGGAATTTATGATCAGGTCACCCTGTGAGGTCACTTTAGTTCACTGGACTTGTCAGATTTATTACAGCCCTTTTTTCGTACACAATTCTTTTATGTGTGTGTGTGTGTGTGTGTGTGTGTTGACTGATTTTAGAGAGAGAGAGAAAAAATAACATTGATTTGTTTGTTCCACTTATTGATGTATTCATTGGTTGACTCCTGTACATGCCCTGACGAGATTGAACCTGCAACCTTGGCATACTGGGGCACTGCTCTAACCAACTGAGCTACCCGGCCAGGCCCATCCACGATCCTGAGTTTAGACCATTCTTCGAACTTCCCTAACTGCGCCGAGAATGCAGAAACCTGTCCTTCCTGCTCACGGGGTGTCAGGGCACAGGAAGCATTGTGTTGGGATGGGTGCAGGGAGAAAAAGTAAGGTGTTTGCTTCTCTCTAATTGTAAGAATACAAGTCCATAGTAGAAAATAGGGAGGAGGAAAAAGAAAAAGAAAAATATTTAAATCACCCTTGATTCTCCAACCCAGAGAAAATACTGTTTACGTGATTTTGTCCTATTTTCCCTGTTTGTAAGGGGAAATATTTTAAAACTGATTTTTAGAGAAGGAAGAGAGAAGGCGAGAGAGAGAGACATTGATTTATTCTTTCACTTATTTGCATATTCCATGGTTGATTCTTGTATGTGCCCTGACCGGGAATTGAACCCGCAACCTTGGTGTATCGGGACGATGCTCTAACCTAACTGAGCTACCCAGCCAGGGCCAGAAAACATATTTTTAATGGTTGTAAAATATTCCATTGGAAAGATGTACTAGAATACATATAAATATAATGCATAAACCTTTCCCCTACTATTGAATGTTGAAGTGATTTCACATTTTCTATTCAAATGAGCTGTGACATCAGGCTGGTGTGGCTCAGTGGACTGAGTGTTTTCCCATGGACTGAGAGGTCCTGGTTTGATTCCCAGTCAGGGCACATGCCCCAGTTGCAGGCTCAACCCCCAGTAGGGGGCGTGCAGGAGGTAGCTGATCGATGTTTCTCTCTCACATCGGTGTTTCTCTCTCTCTCTAAAAAATCAATAAAAACATATTTTAAGAAATGTTAAATTTACAGAGATTCAGTTTTTTTTCATCTACACTACATAATTCTGCTTTTGATAACTCCTGTGAATGAATGCTTTTCAAGACTTCTTTTTAAAAAAAGTTATTTATTTATTTTACAGGGAGAGGGAGAGATAAGAAATGCCGATGAGAGAGAACACCGATTGGCCACCTCCTGCATGTCCCCCACTGGGGATTTGGCCCACACCTGGGCATGTGCCCTGACCAGGAATCGAACCGATGATCTCTTGATGCATGGGTCAACGCTCAACCACTGAGCCACACTGGCCAGACTTTAAGGCTTTTTAACCATGTGTACTTCTTTTGTAAATGCCTGTTTATGCTCTTTACATTTTTTTGAGATACTTGTGTGTGTGTGTGGGGGGGGGGGGTATTTTGTTGTTGTTTTGTGTGTGTGTGTGTGGTTTTTTTCCCAAATACAAAGAAAAGTTTATTTAGAAAGTCAGAGAGGTAGAAGAAGTGAGCCAGCTGGGCTGCGTGGGCTCAGGGAACAAGTTACAGAGAAAAAGATGGGCCCTTGGGGCTTAGGAGAGAGGGGCAGGGAAGATGCCAGGGGGTGGGGAAAGGCACGGGCGAGCTCCATAGAGACAGCCCCGGAGACATTTGTGTTTTCATATACATTATAAGAGTCTACGATATTTATTTTGTGTACTTCAAAATATACAACCGACCAGTTCTGTTAATGTTTTCCTTTGGGGCTTCTCCCTTTGAGTTGATGCTTCAAGCGGCCTTCCCCATGAGAAAACCTGAGAGAAGAGACCTCGGCTTGTCACCAGAAGACAGATCGGTCGAGATATTTCATCTCAGTAGCTGTGTGACTGAGGAGCGGCTCAGTTTTGGTTAACTAACCTGAGGCTGCTATGTTTCTACGTGTGAATTCACACATTCTAAGGTGCTCTAACTATGCACACCCACCAGCTCCGTCCCTGGACTCCAGGGACCGCGTACGGGGACAGGCACCCCAGGAGAGAGGAGAAGACAGGCCTGGAGTTCAGGTGCGTGCCATCAGAGGAGGATGCTTCTGCACCTTCCACCTTGGGTGCTGACAGAAATGTCCCCTGAAGAGAAGCAGTGCTGACGTCGCCACAAGAGAATATTCCAAACCTCCTTCAAGGCCAACCTACCTTCCAGCGGCCGTATCTGTCAGCCAGGAGGCCAAAGAGGATACTGAAGACCATGTAGCCGAAAAACACCATCTGGAGGTTGGGGGAGGAAAAGCATGCTGTGAGCAGAGTTGTTATAACCTGTTGATTCATTGCATTTAGCACCCAGCCATCTCAATGACAGGCAGTCTAGACTAGACAGGTGGGGGTGAAGAACCAGTGCTCACAAAGATCTCCCCTGACGCCCGCTGAACAGTTCAGGGCTTACAGGCTGATGCTTCTCCTTGGGTGACTTCACACCTGGAAACACTGCCACCAGGTGGAAACCGGTGGGAAGAGCAGGTAACTGCTCCAATCCAAGAGGAGGGCATCGGCCCTACTCAGATGCATAATTGTGAATTTCCATTTTAATAACTTCAGAAACTCTGTTCATCATGTTCTCCTTCCACACACAAGCTGAGACTTCTAGACGCAGTCTCCTTGATCTTATTACAGATAAACGTAAAGTTCAAACAAACACCAAAACCAATCATTGGTTTAGAAATACTCCTTGACTCCAACCCAAATCTCTCTCTTTTCCTCACTTGCTCTCACAATGGCTTGTCCCACCGTGAGCAAACTCGAGAGCCTGGATATGACACCAGCACTTCAACTCAGCCTGAGTGCAATCTAGCGTCTATGCCTTTAGGTGACTTATTTCTCTGCCTTCAGTTTCCCCAAGCTTCACCGCTTTGCCTTCTAGTAAGATCACTGACTAATTGCTTCCAGAATAATCAAAGGAAAGGTGGTAGCTGGCATTTCTAACATTTTCTTTTCTTTCTTTTTTTCATTTGTTTGTTTTTTGTTCATTCTCACCCAAGGGTATTTTTCCATTGATTTTGAGAGACAGTGGAAATGAGGGAGGGAGGAAGACAGGGAGAGAAACACTGATGTGAGAGAGATCGACCAGTTGGCTCCTGCATGCATCCCATCAGGGCTGAGGATCAAACCTGCAACCCAGGTACGTGCCCTTGTCCAGGAATCAAAGCCACGACCTTTGGAGCACAGGCTGGTGCTCTAATCCCCGAGCCACACCGACCAGGGTTCTGACACTATTTCAATGAAGAAGGGCTGTTTGGCTCTGCTGACTGCTTTGCTTTTCTCTGTATCTTCGTCCTCATGTTTCCTACGGAAGACTCAGGTGCAGGCCTTCCACAGGGAATTGTAAAACACAACACAGCATATTTATTCTTGAACGACAAAAGCCATGTGTTTCTCCTGTGCACCGTCCTTTCCGGGATGGAAATGAGGGGGGAGCCAGTGTTTTCTAACTGCCGGTCCATTATCCAGGATGAAATCTAATCTGTCCTCTGCAAAATGGCGAACACAATGACAATGGGGTACAGTCTGCACGAATCAAAATTTATTGAATATGAAGGGTGCTTTTCATTCTGGAATAATTTTCTTTCTGATTGTTGGTAATAACATGCCCTTCTGTTTTTTAAAGATGATGGTTGTTGATGGCAAGATTTTCTGCCTCCCTCTCTTCTTCTTCTAATGACCTTACTTGCCAAATATACATGTGTTTAATTTTATTTTTTAAAAAGATGTTTTTTAGCCCTGACTGGTTTGGTCAGTGGTTAGAGCATCAGCCCGCGGACCATTGAGTCACGGGTTTGATTCTGGCCAAGGGCACGTGCCTCGGTTGCTGTTCGTCCCTTGCCCTGGTTGGGGTCGTGCGGGAGGCGGCCACTCAATGTGTTCCTTTCACGTAAATGTTTCTCTCTCTCCCTCTCTCTCTACCTGACCTAAAAATGGAAAAATGTCCTCAGGTGAGGATTAAAAAAAAGATGTTTTTATTGATTTTAGAGAGAAAGGAAAGGAGAGCGAGAAACATCGATGTGAGAGAGAAGCATCAATCAGCTGCCTCTCGACTGGGCATGGAGCCCACAACCTGGGCATGTGCCCTGACCGGAACTGAACCAGTGACTTTTCAGTGCACAGGACGATGCTCAACCAACTGGCCAGGGCTAAATATATTTTAATGTCAGCCATTCAATTAAAAAAAAATTATATCAGCTGGTGAATGCCAAAAGTTGGGTTCCCCTGAAATGAAGTGTCTCCAGCCATGCATGCTTAGCAGTGAGGACACACTCGGAGAGTCCTTGCAGGTGGTTTCGTCATCATGCTAACATCACGGAGTGCACTCACGTCAACCTAGACGGCAGAGCTACTACACCCCTCGGCTGCGTGGCACAACTCTGTGCTCCTGGGCTACCAGCCTGCACAGCCTGTCCCTGTACCAACAACCCAAGGTTCAGCACCAGGAATGTGACGCAGTCAAGGCACAAGGTGAACACAAGCTGGATGAGGCTGCAGCCAGCATGACGCGTGTACTGTTTTACAGCAAACTTAAAAAAATATGTTTAGAAGGAATACACTCTAAAATAACAGTAAAGCCCAGCCGGTGTGGCTCAGGGGACTGAGTATCGTCCCATGGACTGAGAGGTCCGGGTTTGATTCCCGGTCAGGGCATGTGCCTGGGTTGCGGCCTTGATCCCCAGTTGAGGGGCGTGCAGGAGGCAGCCGATCAATACATCTCTGCACGAGAAATACATAATGTCTGTGAAGTCAATAATGCATGTATGTAACATTGATTTTTGTTATACAAAACAGTATTTTGAAATACTGTCATGCATATTGTGTCAACTACTTTTTGCTTGGAGGGTTTGTGCACTTTGGCCCAACTTGGGGCTCAGTGACCTACCACGGTCTGCAGAGTGGAGTCCATGCACAGACGCTGAGATGCTCTGCCCCCACTTGTCTCTGCAACCGTGGCCCCTCTGCCCTCTCCTCGTCGCTGTCTATTTAAGCAACATGGAACTGCTTGCTTTCCCTCCAGCACACACGCACACACACCCACACCCACACGCACACACGCAGGCATATGCGCCCACAGCGTCTGCTGGCAATTAACTGGGTCTTAATAAATGCGTTGTGAAAAAAATGATAGATACTAGCCTTAATTCCACTTTACAGCAAAATTTGGAGTGCAATCCATAAAGCTATTCATATGGTCATCGAGAAAAGCTGAATGTGTAACACAAACAATTCAATTTGGTGACTGGTTAAGGCACTATGGTCCCACTAAATAGCCTCTTAGTGATCTCAATTACCAGTCAATAGTGAAAGCATAACTAACCCATGGCTTAAGAGTTACTTTCTCGCCAAGCTGGTGTGGCTCAGTGGTTGAGCGCCAACCCATGCACCAAGAGGTCGCCGGGTCAGGGCACATGCCCAGGTTGTGGGCCAAATTCCCAGTGGGGGACATGCAGGAGTTGGCCAGTCGATGTTCTCTCTCACTGATGTTTCTATCTCTCTCTCCCTCTCCCTTCCTCTCTCTCTAAGAGTTACTTTCTCTGATTTACGTTTATCTCTGTGGGGCTTTTGCTAGGACCTGGTAAATCAGCAGTTCCAAGTTGTGCTCTCTAGGGAAAAAGAAAAGGGGACAAAGGACTCGGATGCTGGTTCAGGCAGGCGAACCCATGAGCTCTGAAAGCCAAGAGGTGCGGCATCCTCTGGCCCTCGGGCCTGTGGATGGGGGAGGGGAGAAGAAGCCCTTGTCTTCAGTTGGCTCATCGGTAGCATAGGCAGCAGGCACTCACCGTGGTCACTAATGCCACCTGCCAGTTCTTCAGCTGCCATTCACAGCGGATGACAGGAGACACAACCGCTATTAACATGATCTCCATGGCCTCGGCAACCTGAAGAAGGAGGGAAAACACCATGTCTAAGTGCTAGCTTGTCGTCACTTCCTCCCATGTCCGCCTGTCCATCAACCTTCTAGTACTAACCTCTTCCTTCCCCTCCCCCATTTAGGGAGCACCTGCTGGGTACCCACGGAGCACTACTTGAACATTTTGAAATGGCCCCCAGATTTATGACACATATTCACTTGTGATGTTGGGGACTTGCGCGTCTGCACTGTAACACTGAGGGTGTTGTGTGGAGGCCGGTGACTTAGCTAGTGGCTCGCCACCCACACATCGACCTGGCTTTGGTGTTCCATACTCATCATGCCAATCTTAGGACATGCCCCTTGCAAACGGATTTTTTAAAACAGTCTCTTTCTCAAGAAGTTAGGATGGGAGGCAAGATTCACGAAAGCTAGAAGCAAGTACAAACAATATGAGTTCATCATCAGGAAAGAATGTCTACTTAGCAAACTTAGCATAAGATGTGCTACTAAATATTCCTTTCATTCGAAAGTTTAATTATCACCCTGGATGGTGTGGCTCAGTTGGTTGGGTGCCGCCCTGTGCACCAATGTTTTTTTCTCTCTCTCCCTCTCCCTTCCTATCTCTAAAAAAAAGAAAGAGAGTTTAATTATCATCCTCTGTCCATATCTTGCTACCCATTACAGGGTGAGTTTATCTCCCAGGGAAATAAAATAGATGCTAGAAAAGAATTGATAGAATAAATCGAAATAGATGATAAAAATCTAGCTCAGAATAATGAAGAATAAAGTCAAAGATAATTCTGAGGTGTTTTGCCTGGAGGAAAGGATAAAAATGACATCATCAAAAGGGAAAAGGGTATCAGGTGGGGATCAAGGAGAAGTAAAGGGGAAATGAATTTGTTTGGGACATGTTCTATTGGTAACAATAGGATATTTGTATGGGGTATTTATTATAGTACTATTTGTATTTGTGTAACTTAGAGTTCTGGGATGAAATAGGTATAGTGATGTGAGCTGATGTGTGGGAATTTGCAGTATATTATAATAGCCTGTCTGCCCTTGGGGAGTATTACAGACATGTTTGGAATTTAGACAGCTGGTATGTGTTAGCCCCAAAAGTATCATGAATAAGAGACATCGTGTTTGATTCTCAGGAGAAAGTTTGACTTATTAAACTTATTTTACTCAGTAATATTGAGGACTTGGGTCAACAGCAATTCACTTCTGCTTGGGAACGGAATCTTAGGGAGAAACAAGCCCATCAAGGGTAAGGCTCTGCCCAATTCCAATGCGGGGGGGGCAAAAGTAGGTTTACAGTTGTTCGTTTTGAAAATAATACAAGAATTAATAAATAATAATACAAGAATAAACTCTGTGTTTAACATTCTCAAAACTATAAATCTACTTTGCCCCACCCTGTATAAAGAACCTTAGGGCAGAGGGACCAGGCAGAAGCTAAGGAGGGGGGTATGGAGGAGCAGCACCCTAGAAGAGACCTTGAAGACCATTGGAAGACCTTAAAGAAGACAAAGACTCCTGGGCATAGACCGAGGGTCCTCTGCTGCTTGACCCCCCTACATCCCAGCCCTACGAGGCCCCGAAACCCTGCTCCGAATGCCCGTGAACAAGAGCTGTACAGGCCATGGCCGGGGGGCCCATCCATCGCTGTCAACACATCTGTTCTGAGGAGGAGATCCTGGCCCACGAGGCAGCCCATACCGAAACCAGGGGGAGGATCTGCTCCCCACACCCGAAGAAGCACCTCCTCTTTTCCTTTGTGTGTGGGGTTGGGGGGTGAGAGAAGTGTCTTGCTAAACAGCCCTTCCTAGCTGATGGGCTGGGAAGGATCGGAGCGTCATTACTAAAAATCGAAGCCATTTCAGGGGCACTAGACATACAATCTCCATGGATACGGATCGGAGACGGGTTACTCATAGAGAGGGACACAATGGAAAGCAGGCACATGGCATTGTCTTTCTTTTTTTTTTTTTTCTCCTCACCCAAGGACATTTTTGCATTTATCTTCAGACAGAGCGGGAGGGAGAGAGGGGGGAAGAGAGAGAGAGAAACATCGACGTGAGAGAGACACATCGAGTGGCCGCCACCCACACAACCCCAACTGGGCTGGGGACAAACTGCAACCGAGGTACGTGCCCTTAGCAGGAATCGAACCCGGGACTCTCTGGTCCGCAGGCGGAGGCTCCAACCGCTGAGCCAAACTGGCCAGGGTGTGTCTTTCTAACATAGACAATACCGATATGCACTTCCTTTATATGGGTGGTTTGGTTGACACATGGGAGGTAAAAAAATTTCTACACTCTCTTTTCACTTGCTAGAGGAAGAAAAGACGGGTTCCCAACATATTTGAAGGTAAAAGATGCAGAGTTTCTAACACTGGTAAAGCAAGGGCACTGTAAAGGACAAACACATGACCTTGCCCCCTGGATTTGAAGGAAATGGCAAGAACTATCTGCTAATAGATCACCACTGCATTGTATAGATAACCATTGCTTTGTGTACACAGAAACTGCTTGCTCCCTCAGGCATAACAGCTAACTGCACATATCTGCTTCTGAACGTGCCTGCTCGCAGACCCTTAACCCAAATTCCTAACAGGGGCTAAGACACCTGTACAAGCAGCCCTCCCCCTGAGCTCGGGGCTGCTCTCTCCTCTGCGTAGGATGGGACAGTCGCCATGCGGCTGATAAAGCTCTCTGCATTTGAACCCAGTTCGGAGTCTGAGTCTGCTCTGTCTCGTTGGTCTACAACAGCACCATGAAATAAACATATTGGAAGCCAAATAGGCAATAAGAAGGAGAGATATTCTGGTTCTGGTTGAAAGTGGAGGAGATCTGGTGATGAGACCTTACCATCCATACCTACCTGTCCCTTTAAGTGCGGAATCTTAAAACTTCAGAGGCTAGATGAGACCTTATTTTATAGATGAGGAAATGTTTGCCACTGTATGTCAGTTACTGTAAAAGTACGACCGGGATGTTGCCTTTCCTTTCTCTCTCTCTGCTGGGCTGCTGCTGAGCGTGCAAGACTCTGGGGAGAAGCAGCAGACCTTGTCATGTGCTACCTCCAGCCCTCGTCACTCCTAAATCCACTTAGCTGAACAGTGAGGGGCAGGCTCTTGAGCATTTACTCTAGGTCTCTCCCTCTCTCTCTTAGAAAAAGATGATTGATTTTCATTTTTTTAAATAAATTTTACTGATTAGAGAGGGAGAGAGAGAGAAACACCAATCAAGCGCACGCCTCAACAGGAAACTGAACTCCCAACTGGGTATGTGCCCTGACCAGGAATCAAACCTGCGACCCTTTGGTGCACAGGACAACACTCAACCCACTGAGCCGCACCGGCCGGGCACCACCTGTTATTCTGAGGAGAGAATGACAGCTCAGCCTGGGGCTTTCACAGTGGGAAGCACAGGAAATCTCTGCTGCTTCCTCCTTTTGTGGGTGTGGTGAGAATACGTTGAGAACCCCAAATGGAGATGCATGGGGACAGTGGAGGGGAGACGGAACAGAAAATCTGAGACAAGTGGTCAACATACAATGGTTTCAGGTAAGAGAAAGGTGACTATCAGGGAGCCCAATCCCTGGCCGTGTCGCTCAGTTGGTTAGAGCATTGCGTTTCTCTCTCTCTCCCCACTTCCTTTCCCTCTCTAAAGTCAATAAACACATATTTTAAAAAGTAAATAAGATAGCAGAGGGTAAATAACAAATCCTTGTGGGGGTTATGAAAGAGCCACCCCAAGATGTGTCTCGGCGGTAGGTAGACTACTTTGAACTGAAGGACAATTTTGGCTTCAGGCTCAAGAGGAACTTCTACCCCCCACCTGCCTCCCCCACTTTAACAAGCTAGAAGACTCTGAATCAGGGGCCTGCCCATAATGAGATGATAAGAGAAAATGTCTTTTGACTTATCTGTAGGGAAGGGCAAACTTCTGTTTCTGTTCTTAACATCCTGCAATGACCCTTTGAAGCCCCCAAGGTGCACGACCTCATCCCCAGCTCAGGAGGTCACAATCCCTGCTCCGATCTGGGATCCTCTCCTGTATGAGGGGTCTCTGACTCTGTCATGTGTGTGAGGTTCTCATACATAGGTAGGGATTAAATTTGGCTCTTTTCCCTTGCTCATCTGTTTCATGTCTATGTAACAGACCAGCAGAGAGAGTTGGTTCTTCCCTTACACCTTCACTAGCGCCCGGAAAGGATCTGGAAAGCTGTAACTACAACCGGTATCCCAAGTGATTCTTATGCAAAAACGTTTGAGAATCATGGTTCCAATGGACTTACATGGGTATTGAATTCCCAGAACACAAGTATTCATTCGATGAAAACCTAACACCTGCCAAAGATCGATGAAAATTATTTGGGGATTGTTCACTTCACAAGGTCACTGCTCCCTTTCACACGCCGTCCTGAATGCACAGCCCTGAGCTGGAGGTCAGTGGACAACTCCATGCGTCCCACAAGGAAATAGCTTCAGAGACTCACACGATCTCCGCGGAGCACTCACCCCAGTGCTGCCCATGATCAGAAACAGGGCGATGTGGAAACGCCCGAATCCGATGGTCTCCACGGCCTCTTCCACGGTGAAGGTCTTTGGCTCTAACGAGGAAAGAACAAGTGAAAAGAACAGCCTCGGTGGGTGGGAAATGTGTGCGGACTATTGCTCACCCTGGAAGAGGCTAGAAACCAATTCACTGTTATAAAAACTAGAAATCCAGGGGAACAGGGTGGAATTAAGCAGCAGCTGGAGGGCCAGAGACCTCCAGGTCATCTTACCTTTCGGCTGTGGCTCCGGGGCTCCCAGGCTCAGCTTCCGAAGGCTGATGATGGTGACTGGCTCTGCCCGCTTGGTTACCATCTTCCAAATGGGTCCAATTTCCCACACGGCTTCCCTGATGGACATAGGAGAGGGAAGAAGGGAAGAACTGTAATTCAGTACATATTTTTCTTCAATCTTTAAAAATATTTTCTTTAAATATGTTTTTATTGATGTTTTAGGGAGCGGAAGGGAGAGAAAGATAGAAACATGGATGTGAGAGAGAAACATCGATCGGCTGCCTCCTGCACGCCCCCTACTGGGGATCAAGCCCACAATCCAGGCATGTGCCCTGACCAGGAATCGAACCAGGACCTCTCCATCCAGGGGATGATGCTCAGTCCACTGAACCGCACTGGCCAGGCTATTTTTCTTTCATCTTCACAGAAAATCCATGAAGTAGGTTTTATCATTTATCACTGTTTTACATATTATGAACCTGATACGCAGAGAGGTCAAATGAGGTAGTTGGGCCCCAGGGGCTAGTAATCACCCTGCATGGGGCCAGGTGAGCTCTCGACGAGGTGGCCGGGAGCAGCCTCTGCCCAGGAGTGAAGATTACAGACCTTCCACTCCATCGACCCCTTAGGTACAGTGTGGCCATGTGTTCCCGTGCGCTTTCTTGTGTATTATTTCTATTTACTACCAACAGAAACCCACAGAGCCCCCCTTTTTTGTATGTCATTCTAGAAAAATGATTTTTGATCTCCCCAAATCAAAAGAAAAACAAACTAAAGAAAGCTGAGGATCGAGTTAGCAAAATGTTTTCCAAATGACTTTAAGACACAGTCATCTGACTCCACGTCCCTGGCGGGAAGCACAGAACTGTTCCCCCGCCCGCGGTGATGAGATTGTGGGTAATAACACTGGCATCATTATTTTGACATCGGTGCATATTGTAGGTTCGTTTTTACCATCCTCTGCTTTTGAAGATGTGTAACATTTTTCAAAATAAGTAGTTAAAAACTATGAGGTTCTGAGATTCTTAAATCACTGTCCCCATGTCAGACCACGAGTAAGTAGCAGCCCATCACGGTCATTAACGTTTGCTATGAGCCCAGTCTGCGTTGTGTGTTGTGTGGGCCCACTGGGGACTTCGAAGGAGTGTCTGATATGTCCTTTGCTCTAAGGATTTTTTCATCTAGTTGGGGACACCAAAGATACACATGAAAACAACGATGCGGCCTGGTAGACATTATTTGTTTTCTTAAAACGGTGACAGATAGATCGATAGTGCTCAGAAGTAAGTCCAGGAAATCGCTCTTCCCAAGAGACACCAAGAAAAGTATTAAAAGTTATTATTTTCACAGAGAAAAGAAAGTCAAAATAATCAGTCTCTCAGTCCATCTGGAAGGCTGATAAACATGAAGAACTATAGAAGGACTGTGCCAGAAACGACCACTGTTTCCTCCCAGACATCGTCCAACACGCTTTGGAGGGGGGTTTGTTTGTGTTTTTGAGAGTGCATGTGTTCAAGCTGGGAACAGGGACACTAGGAAGGAATCAGGGCACAGGAAGCAGCAGGAGAAGTCAGAAAAAAAGGGGTCTTGGCGACAGGTTCATGGGTTAGCCTGGGACAAGCTGCCATTGTCCATTGCCCCCCTGGTTGCAAGTCTCAAGGGGATGCTGGAGTTTAGGAGATGTAAGCCTGTGGGGGAAGACGGGGGGGGGGGGAGGGAAAGGCAGGCTGTGTTCCGGAGGGAGACACGCCTGGAGGGGTGTTCTTGATCTGGTGACTTCTAAATTAAGTGGTTAGCAGAAAAACCACCTTCTGATTATAAAAAGGCGAGGCCTCAGCACACATTAAAAACTGGCTCTGATCCCACTTCTAGGAATATACCCTACGAAGCATAAAACACCAATCAGAAAGAATATATGTACCCCCATGTTTGTAGCAGCACTATTTACAATCGCTAAAATCTGGAAACAGCCCAAGTGCCCATCAGTAGACGAATGGATTAAAAAGCTGTGGTACATATACACAATGGAGTACTACGCAGCGGTAAGAAAGAAAGATCTCTTATCCTTTGAGACTACATGGAGGGACCTGGAAAGTATCATCCTAAGTGAAACAAGCCAAACAGAGAAAGACAAATTTCATATGATCTCACTGATTTGTGGAATATAATGAACATAACAGTTTGAGGACAATCCCCTAAGGAGTGGGGAGGTGAGAGAGGGATGAACCACAGAACTTATATGCATGTATGCATGAACAGTGGACATGGACAACAATCTGGGGAACGGGCAGGGAGGGAAGGGGGAGGGGGGAATCAGTGGGGGAAAAAAGGAGAATCATTTGTAACAAAAATTAATCAATAAAAAAAAAAAAAAAAAAAACTGTCTCTGGCTGAATATCATCTTTCTAGATGGGAAGATAAGCTACAGATTCACTGCAATCAAAATATGAAAACAAGACCATCCAGTGAGGATTAAAGACCATTCAGTGAGGATTAAAGAGCGGTGATGTTTGCACAACCTTGAGATTGCACTAAAAATCATTGAAATATACAGTCAAACGGTGAATTTTATTGCATGTAAATTATATCAACTTTTTTCTTAAAAATAGTCATTCAAATCATGGCAGCAAACTTAAAAACCAGAAGTGACTCCGCCGTTTATAACGTTAGAGAATGAAACAATGTAGTTGGGTGGGGAAATAATGTACTTTTTAATCTCCCTGAGTTCATCTCAAATTCAGTGACAACTAAATGCTCAGCAGTAAGTTCAGTCTTCACTCAATTTATAACCTCTTCTACCAGCCAAGTTTCACGACTCCTCACAGCCATGTTAACATGTTTTACAGTTTTAGCATTCATAAAGGCTTATGGCTGAGTAATAAAACAATGTGCAGTAAGTCTCCTTGTTCTTTTTTTTTTTTTATCCTCACTTGAGGACAATTTTTTCCATTTTTTGTTTAGATAGAGTGGGAGGGAGAGAGAGAAAGAGAGAGGGAGAGAAACATTGACATGAAGGGACACATCGAGTGGCTGCCACCCACACCACCAACCAGGGCCGGGGACAAACTGCAACCGAGGTACGTGCCCTTAGCGGGAACCGAACCCGGGTCTCTCTGGACCGCAGGCCGACGCTCTAACCGCTGAACCAAACCGGCCAGGGCAAGTCTCCTTGCTCTTTGTATTGAGCAGCAAGACAAGAAACCCAGGAAATCTGCCCCTTGCTGTTGAGCCCAACAAGCTTTTGTGTGAGATGTTTTAACCTGAGTAGGTAGCTTCTCTTATCAGCAAAGAGAAATGATTTATCTCAGGCAGTTTGGCAAAAGGTGTTACATCCACCCTGGCCAGTTCGGCTCAGTGGTTAGAGTGTCGGCCTGTGGACCGAAGAGTCACGGGTTCGATTGCAGTCAAGGGCATGTACTGCCATTGTGGTTCGGTCCCCAGCCCTGGTCGGGTCGTGCGGGAGACAACCAGTCGATGTGTCTCTCTCACATTGATGTTTTTCACTCTCTCTCTCTCTTTCTCTGTCTCTATCCCTCCCTCCTACTCTATCTGAAAATAAATGGAAAAATATCCTCAGGTGAGGATTAAAAAAAAAGGTGTTACATCCAAGATAATGGCATCACAGATCTCTTGATTAAAGCTGATCCCGTAAAACAATAAATAAACAAAGCCCTGGTCAGTTTGGTTCAGCGGTTAGAGTGTCACTGGCCACAGACCAAAGGGTCATGGTTTTTATTCCTGGTCAAGGGCACCTACCTGGGTTACAGGTTTGATCCCTCACCCTGGTTGGGGTCATGTGAGAGGCAACCAACTGATGTCTCTCTCTCTCTCTCTCTCCCCCCCCCTCTAAAAATCAATGGGTAAACATCCTCAGGTGAGGATTAACAAAAATAAAAATAAATAAATTAAGTAAAATAAAGCTGATCTCATAAAGGGAGATTCACTGTTCTGATTTAACATTTTTCCTTTTTTTCTCATGTTTTGTTCTTATTTGTTTTTTCTTTTATTCTTTTTCTAGTAAATAGTTATAGTAGATATAAACCACAAATTATAATTTTAAAAAAGAGCCTAATAAATTAATGGGCAAATTATATGATCAGATAAGCCACAAGAGGATAAACAAATTATAAACAAAACCGTAATGATGTCACCTTCTGTAATAACTGACAAAACCATAGTAACAAAGACCTGTAGGTATCACTTTACAACCGTAACTCGGCAAACAGAGGCAGGAAAGCAGGAGGGAAGGACAGAGGGAGGAGATGCAGGAGGGAGGGAGGAAGGGATGGAGAGAGGCAGAGAGGGACTACAGGAGGAGGGAGGCGGGCAGGGAGGGAGGAAGGGGTGGAGAGAGGCAGAGAGGGACTACAGGAGGAGGGAGGCGGGCAGGGAGGGAGGAGGGGTGGAGAGAGGCAGAGAGGGACTACAGGAGGAGGGAGGGGGGCAGGGAGGGAGGAAGGGGTGGAGAGAGACAGCAAGAGGACTACAGGACGGAGGGAGGCGGGCCGGGGGAGGAGGAAGGGATTGAGAGAGGCAGAGAGGTACTACATGGAGGAGGAGGGGGGCAGGGAGGAGGAAGGGGTGGAGAGAGGCAGAGAGGGACTACAGGAGGAGGAGGCGGGCAGGGAGGGGAGGAAGGGATGGGAGAGAGGCAGAGGACGGACTACAGGTGAGGAGGGACGGGGGGCAGGGAGGGAGGAAGGGGTGGAGAGAGGCAGAGAGGGACTACAGGAGGAGGGAGGCGGGCAGGGAGGGAGAAGGGAGATGGAGAGAGGCAGAGAGGGACTACCGGAGGAGGGAGGCGGGCAGGGAGGGCGGAAGGGATGGAGAGAGCAGAGCGGACTACGGAGGGAGGGGAGGCGGGCAGGGAAGGAGGGCGGGGGGTTGAGAGAGGCAGAGATGGACTAAGGAAGAGGGCGGGCGGGCAGGGAGTGAGGATGGTGGAAGAGAGGCCAGAGAGGACTACGGGAGGGGGAGGGCGGGCAGGGAGGGAGGAATGGGTGGAGAGAGGCAGAGAGGGACTAAGGAGGAAGGGAGGCGGGAGGGAGGGAGGGGAGGAAGGGGGGGAGAGAGGCAGAGAAGGACTACAGGAGGAGGGAGGCGGGCAGGG